CGAAAAAAAATTGTAGTCATGATGATTTTTACCTATTTAATGCTTGTGTTTGTAGTTCATGTCTTTCAAGATAATTTTGATGTTGTCTTTGTAAACGAGCAAGTTGCGATCTACTACTCATAGCGTCTTCTTTCGCTTGTTCTAGCATTTCAGTCATAGCTAAAAGTCTTAATCGTAACCCCTCGATATCCAAGTCTTCAGCATCTGTATGAATATCTAAATCTGCAAGAGGTTCAGTAGCTTCCACTGCAGCTTCTGCAATTTCAGATGACTCCTGTATATAAAAAGAAATATAAAATAAATAGAACATATTATGCTTTCTATTTTCATTTAGCTAGTTTTAATATATTTTATATGTACATCTATGTAGCTTGGCAATGCTATTAGCATGTCATCTAATGTTTGATCTAATGGTGATACAGGCACAAGTCCTCCCATATTTCCAGTATCTGTGATTGGAGTTAATACCTTTTCTTCTTCAAATGCTTCACTAAAAATGTTGAAAGATATTTGCATTGAAAATGATTAAAATTATAAAATATGATAAGTAGATATGCTTACCATTTTTCACAATCAGAAGGTTCTTTATTAGATTCTGTATTTACATCACTTGATTCTGGTTGGGATTGTGAAACAGATGGACTAGGTGATGTCGAAGTTTTTATTGATATTACTGTAGGAGAATTGAGACAAGTTGAAGGTGCACTAACTGAAGTGGAAGTTTCTGTACTCTTTTGTTCATCATTTTCATTATCAAAGGAGATGATATGTGTTTGCACTTTTTTCTTTTGTTTTTGTTTTGAAGTATATCCTGATGATGACATTAATTATAATGATATAATTTCATATACTACCTTAAAAAGTGGAGGATATAATTACCTGGTATTGTAGATGATATAATAGGTTCAGATAATGAAACTTTCTGTTTCTCCATTTCTTTGGCATTTAAATTATTATCCAGTTCTTCATTATCTATCCTAATTGCAAATAAAATACTACCAAGTCCTAATAGTCAAAATGATATTAAATTACTTTATATAAATAAGCTAGTATTGTGTGAAATTAATGTTGTTATACCTGCAGCTACATTTGGTAATACAGTACTTCGTTCCTGGTCAAGTAAAAATGCCCAATCCTCATAGAATGGAGATAATATTGTAGGATCAAGTATAGCATGTAAATGTCGCTCTAACGAACGTTCATTTAAAACAGCTCTGAGCCAAGCTCTACCCCTACCATAATCTGTATTAACTTTTTTTAATACACTAAAACGTTCTTGTTCATGCCATGTTAACTGTTCTTTTATACATGGCCAAAATGCCATATCTGATGTGTTGCACAATTTTGTACTACTACCAGACACTATGTCTGAAACATGTCTATAAAACAAATAACATACTTTAATACAATGGAATACATCTTTAACAATTAGTCATCTTGTGACATTATCTTATGAACATGCATCAGTATGGTTACATTTAAAGTGATAAGAGGTAAAAAAAAAACATCATTATGTGAATGACTACATGCATGGTATCATGATATCAACCTTATCTTGAATGAGTATGACAAACAAGTGATATTTATTATGCGTAACTTTCCATAGTGTATATTCTATTGAAGATATTAATGAAATTAAAAAGGTATACTATTTCTTAAATATAAAATATATTTATTTACTTAATATTATGTAATTGTCAGTATTTTATTTGTTACCTTAAAGCTGAATTAATTTTTTCAATACAATTTGTTCGTAATCCATGAGTAAAAATTGATTCAAATATGTGACACAACTGTCTAACACATATATCAGATTCAGTTGCTAATTCAGTACGCCCACCAAACCTAATATGACACTTCTTTGCAGCAGCCAATAAATCTTTCAATAGTTTCTGTCGTTCTGCTCCATGATCATAACTTTGATTAGAATCAATTACATTATGTGTGCTTGGCACTATGGCTGACATCATACGTAAAGCCTAAAACATATATTATAAATATTTATTTAAAATT